TGGAAAGTTAATTTTGACAGCTCAACTATCTGTTTACTCTTAATGGGTCATAGGGGATCTAAATGCCTTAGCACTTTCCAAGACAAGTTAGAAGAAACAAGTGGAACCTTATTAGAGCTTTTGTGAGGTGGCTTTGAAGGGACTTTAATTGCAAGGCTCCAAATCTCTATTAAAATGATCAAATTCAGATCTGAAAAATAGAGAGAGAAGAAGGGCGATAGCTACAGAAAACTGAGTTTGATTTTGTTCTAGGTTTCCTTCTTCTTTTCTTCTTGTAAGCTTTTGGGTATATTGTCTTACAAGGGTTTTGTATTCTTCTTGGATTGGGTTAATCCTTGAAGGGGTTGAGTGAGTTGAGATTCACTTGTGACGGTTTAATCTTGCACCCGCAAGCAAGAGGTTGTTCCGGTTTAATCTTGCACCCGTAAGCAAGAGATTTCTAGTGGATTGAACTCTCGAGCAAGGAGGCTTGGGGAGTGGACGTACTCCGGGTTGGAGGAACCACTATAAATCACGGCTTGATTTTCTCTTCCCTTTCTTTTTATTTTTCTGCACTATATTACTCTTATTTATTTTGCACAATAACTTATAAATTGCTAGCTGGGATTTCAAGATGGAAAAATTTGGTATTCCTATCCCCCTCGACAATCCAATTGGTTCTGGATTTCATGAACCATAAATCATCCTCTAATTTAAGCACACGCTCAAATTCTTGAATAAGCTCCTTTTCAAGATTCCAAAGGAAGGCAGAAAAATTATAGGAAGCAGACTTTTGAATACCAGCAAGTCGTGAAAGGAGCTTTTGCTTTCTTTTGAAAATATTCCCAAAAGTATTTCGGCTCCAGATCCTTGCTTGCTTCATAGAGGTATCCAAACAATCAGATGTGTTGGAGTTATTAGATGACCAAATTTGTTGAATAAAAGCTTGAAATTGAGGATGATCAAGCGAAAATTTTTCCATACGAAAAGGTCTAGAACCTGTGCGAGGAGTAAAGGGCTTAAGAATAAGCAAGATTGGACAATGATCAAAACTAGTCCATGGAAGATGAAAGAGAGTTGCTTCGGGAAATAGCAATTTCCACTCAGGATTTGCCCAAGCCCGATCAAGCCTTTCTTGAATAAGTTGGTGCGAAAATCTCATGTTAACCCAAGTAAATCTATTACCCACAAACCCTAGATCAATCATGTTGCAATTGTTCATGCACTCCAAGTAAGCCCGGACACGGGCTTGACATATTCTATTACCACCAAATTTCTCACTTTGGTCTAAAACATCATTGAAGTCCCCAATCATCATCCAAGGCATAGAGATGTTTTCAGCAATAGTAGATAGTTCATTCCATAAAAGAGCTCTAGTATCTATTTGGGGCCTACCATAAATACCAAAAAGAAACCAAATAGTAGGAAAAAAAGAGTTATTACATACCTTAATAATTGCATGAATGGCTTGATCGCTATAGGAGACAATGTCCACCACAACTGCAGCATCATCCCATAAAAGCAATAGCCCTCCAACAAGCCCATTAGAGTTCACCACAAAGGATTTAGCAAATCCAAGAGAAGTTGCTTGGCTTTGAGCATCTTCTCCAGATAATTTAGTTTCAACAACTAGCATAATCGTAGGATTATGAGTGTGTTTCAAATCCATGGCACTGCAATGAAAATTATGTTTTGCTGCCCCACGGCAATTCCATGAAATGATCTTCACCATCCAATCACTCTAATTTGAGATTCCCAGTAGGATCTGGGCTAGTGTCGAGTCCAAGATTGGCAATGGAAGCCTTTGGTCCTTGAACAGGAACCTCGCTTGGGGGAAGTGGAAGGGGATTAAGAGAGTCTCGTAATCCATTTCTGTCTTCGTAAATAACGAGGGGAGCATTTTGGACACTAAATGAAGATGTTCCATCTTGCCCTTCATGTTGATTATCTTCAGATGAGGCATGTAAGCTAAGTTGGAAATTTGATGCGGAATGATAAGGCCCAAGTCCTCTTCGATATTGGCTCCTTTTGACGACTCTAGATTCATGATCTGAAACTATTCTCTTAAGGCTAGGTCGGTTGATGGAGCTGGGATAAGATGTAGAATCCCCTATAGATCCATATGATTGTAAGTGATTATCGGAGCACGCCATGCCTCCAAAATCTGTGGCATTGTCCAATTCTCACTCCTTGGAGAAACACCGGCTAGCATCCGTTTCAACGCATAGTCCAGATGAATCTTGGTGTTGCCCCTTACTAAGTAGATCTGGAGGTTTGGGTGAAGGGACAAGAAGTTGAGGGGTTCCATGGGTTAAGGGAGAACAGAGAGAAGAAAATATCGATGAGTAGTGAGAGGATTGAGTGAGGGAGGATGAAGGTGGGGCACAAGATGTAATGGGTTGAGGAGAAAAGTCTACTGCCGTGATATGGGTGGTAAATATAGGTCTCATAATTGGAGTGGGCTCTGATGATGAGAAAGAAATAGGAGCATTGACAAGCTCAAGAGTGTTTTGGGCCTTGGGGTTTGGGTCTAATATGGGCTTGGTTTTTGCTTTGGGCTCAAGGTGGCCCTTACTTACCTTTAGAAACACTCTGGACCTTTGATGAGTTTTTGATGACCCATTGGGGTTCTTTAAATTTTTGCTCGTTGAAACTTTCTAGCTGAATTGCTTTTCCAGATAAAGCTGACACATCAGATTTGACATTGGTTTGCTCAGCATTAAATGCTCTTGGCTTGTAACCGTTAGTTTGGCTCACACGATTAGTTGTAGATCCAGATTGAGATTTCGGACCCAGTTTACGGATCGGGGCTCCAGACCCACGAGATGAGCTAGGCACCGTAGTGGCCATTGTCTTCTCCGATGAGTTCCCAATAACTGGGGTTTTTTTCCTAGGCTTCTGACGTTCCACAAAAAGCCAAGGGCCAAAATCAGTGCAATCCTGTTGAGCATCACCCTGAGCAACTAGATTTTTTGTGTTTGTATCCTCAATTATAGTCTCAGATTCTTGGGCATTGGACGCATCAGCTAGTTTGGGATCAGAACTCACTGTAGAGGCGTTCGAGATAGCATTGATTATGGAGGGGGTTTTGTCCTTGAGTCTTGGGCATTGATTGTTGCGATGGCCAATTCGTCCACAATTAAAACATAGAACATTAACACCCTCGTACATAACCCTCTATTTTTTTTTACCAATTCTGACAGCCTTCACAACTGGGCGAGATAGATCAATTTGGACACATACCCGTGCGTATTGGCCCCGAGTGTGGTGAGCGATATGAGCATCTACGTGCAAAAGTGTCCCAACCTCATTTCCTATTTTTTGAAGAGTGGTGGGATCGTAATGATCCGCCGATAAGTTTGGAAGCCTTGCCCACACAACAGTGGTAGTAGTTGAATTAACGGCCTCTACAGGATCAAAGTTTGGTTCCCATCTCCTAATAGTTAGATGGAAGGGGGCAACAAACCAAGGCCCACCAAATATGACTCTGTTTAGGTCCTTTGGAACTTGAAATCAAACAAGAAAAAAATCAAGACCCAAGTCTACGAAATCCCACTTACCTGTTGGCTTCCATTGAGCCTTCACCCTCGGAAAGACATAATTGTAACCAAGAGGTTTGGAGTGAAAGGCTTTGATGATGAGGGCATTCATCCATGGCTCTCTTATGCGTCTCTTTTCAGCTTTGGAAAGCAAGACGATGGGAGTTGGGTCATTCGGATCGTCATCGACATCCGAGTCCTCATCCATGTATCCTGGAGTGGTGGCAAAGGATACAATTGTAGGATTCTCATCAAATAAAAGTTTATCTTTGTAAGATAACTCTGCCAAATTACCAGGTTGGGTAGCCTCAGACATGTATATATCCCTTTGCATGGTGGGAGGAGAAGGAGAATATGCCATATTGGTATCAGTAACGGGATCTAAGATTGGAATTTTTGTAGTGATCACGTAGATCTGATTCTTGGGACAAAGAAGGGAGAGTTGGAGATTGAAGATTCTCAAAGATGGAGAGCTTCTCGTGGACACTCATGGCTAAAAAGATAAACTGCATTTTCTTTAGTTGCTTGCTTAAAAGGAGAGCGAAAAGTTCGCAGGCCATGTTGAGCTCCTTCTTGCCTCTCAGTAGTCTTTGCCAAGGCAGCAAAACGCAACAGACAGTCACGAGTTGTTTCCTTGAAGCTGGAACCATGCTCCAAATGCAAAACTTGATTATATGTACATATATGTAGTTTTTCCTTTCCCTTTTCGTTTCCTCTTCCAGGGAGCCTAAAAATAAGGAAAATCTCAACTTTGTCTTAAATTCTATCAAGATGTTGTTAACAATTCTCCTTGGAGAACTCCTTTTCGTATACAAGTCTTTTTATTTGTTTGATTCTGTTGATTTCTTAGTTGTACACTATGTCTTGATCCATGGAGCAGAATGCCATTTGTGGTCATATCAAGGAAATGGCGAATCTAGTTACATCGCTCCAAGGCATTTTCACCAGGAATTTTATGGCACTATAGTGTTGATGAATTTTTTTAAGAATATGGGTTTCTATTACTGGTGTAAAATTAATTATTTAAAGTACATGTAAAATTATCTCAAAAATAAATTCTTAAATCATTTTTTATTGACGCTCTTTATAAACATCAACCTATAACACATAACATGTCATTTGTCCTAATTAAACCATACATCTTAAAATAACATCTAAACGTATGCACATTTCCATCTTAGAGCAAATAATTCAGATAATTATTTGGTATAAGTTTTAATTTTAATTATTTCATTGAAATTAGTGCTTGTCTATCTTACCTCCAAAAAATTAAGAGAAAAAAAAAATAAAAATCATCTTAATGCATGCTTTTAAAAATAAAGTAATTTAGTCTTTCTCAATAAAAATTTATTGAAATAATATAATTTTAAGATAATTTTCTTTCTAATTTTTAAGAGGTAAAGTTAATAAGCATTATTTCCTATCTCATTTATGCAACTTAAATGTAATATATTTTATTTTTTAATATTAAAATATAAACATTTATCATTTATGTTTTAAAATATGATTAATTAATTTTTAATTATCAACCTTAACTAATTATAAAATTAAAATTATATAAAAATATAAAAAAAATGGAGTTGAAGTGATGATTAATTAAAAAATATCTATTTTAATCATTTTAACATTACATTGCATTAAAAAAAATTTTATAAAAAATTTTACCAACTATCTTTTCACTTTACAAATATTTTTATAAAATATTTTATCAAATACTTTTATCCTCTAAAAAAAACAATACTTCTGCCGTCATTCTTTCCAACAAAATTTTTATTAAGAACTCCGGCCACGTCAAACGGATTTTTATCGCCCTCCTAAATATGGAGATAATTCAAACAAGAGAATGACATATTTTTCCCTTACTCTCCTCCCCCTTTCCTCCAAAACCCCCTAATCCAAACATATTCTGCAAGAGAAAGTTGCAGAGGGAGAAGAGGATAGACCGATCAGTGTTGCAGAAGGAGAAGACGAGAGACCGATAGTTGTTGCAGAGGGAAAACAAGGAACACCGATTGGGGGGAGAGGCCGAAATGAATTTGGCGTTTCGATTCAATTCATTTACACACAAGAAATTAAGTGATGGCTGCAATTTCATATTCCAACAAAAGCCTCTGAAACAACGGCCAACACTTGCATTTCTACTGTTTGTTTTCTTTTTCCCCAGCAATCAGGACCACCCTCCAGCATAAGAAGAGAAAAAAAAACAGTGAGTTTCCCTTGTCTGAGCGTCAATCCCTGATTTTGCAAATCAAAGCGGGAAGGGAACCTATGGGAATCGTAGGGTGATTGAATTGAATAATTTAATAACCATTTTGCCCCTTTCTAATCTCAAGTGGAGATGGAAAGTTAAAGGGTAAAAAGGATATTTTACATGCGAAACAAACGCCTTTTAGAATAAAAAGACTATAATGCCTCCATAGCAGCAGGCACGTTAGTGTGGCTCCTTCCAAAACCTTTTGAGGGCAAAACAGTAAACACGGCGTTAAGAATGAAGTGTGAGAGAGATGGGGAGACTCGGAATTCACATGTTTAGATTTTATATACCATCTAAAAAAGGAAAAATTTAGATTTTATCCAAACAGACCTTAAAAACGCCGGCCAAATACACGGCGTCGGCGGGACAGCCGAGACCGAGAGCGGAGTAGATCTCTCCATCATGAAGAACCGAACAATAAGAGTCCTTTGCCCTAAACTACTGATCAATAGAAACGAATCACTTCTGCAATGGCTAATCGGATCCCCATTTTTGCCGCCGCTCACCATTGTCTCCACCATCAGATGCATCCACGGGGACTCCTCTTCGCCAGATTACCATAAGGAATCAGGTTTGTTGAAGTTCCAACTAAATTTCTCTCTTACGGGCTTTCTTTATTCTTACTCTTATTTGGTTTGGGTCTGAGCAGAAGATATCAGAACGCTACTCTTGAAAGGATTCGACGTAATCGGAGCTTTGGTAATGGGAGATTCTGATTTTGAAAATAAAGCGCGCAAGGCTTTGGATGCTGCCCGCAGATTGAGAAAGCTTCTGTCTGGAACAGAGAAATCAGAGAATGAAGAAATGATCGGGGCTGTTGCAAATTCATGTAGTGGGGGAATTCACTTTTTTATATCCAAAACTGAAAAAACCACGAACCTAGAGCCCGTTTCTTTGGTGGTGCATGATGATAACCCTGAGAAGTATGTCTGGGAAAATGGTTGTTTGCTTCGGTGCCAGCTTCCTATTAAGTTGCCTTTCTGTTTTCCGGTGAACAAGCCTTCTGGTAATTTATGTTTCTATTGTGGCTTTCTTTGCTTCCAATTGGTAGTAATGTTGTTTTTAATCCATCTTTTTTTGTTAGTTATGGGAACTTTTCTTTTAGAAAGTGTTATGAATTGATCATTGCTGAAGGCCAGTGGTTAAATGCTTGTTCAATTGGTAATGCAATTTGGTGTTCAGTAGCTAAGGTGAAAACCATGGATGTCATGTGGTTGCCGAAGCTATACTTGAGTTGGGAAGGCTTAATTGAGTTCAGTCAAGTTTTAGTTTTCAAACCTTGCACTGCGTTCTAGTTTCTATTCTGTAGGTTAAAAACTGCATTTGAATTTCTTAATGAATAAGTTCTTGTTGACAACTTGTACCCATCATTTTCCTTTGTAATCACACGGGCATTATTACTATGTTTCAGATGCAGATAATGTTTTCTTGAGGGCAATTGAAGTAGTCATTGCCAATTTCAAAGATCCAAAGGTTGCATATATAGTAGAATCATCAAGCAAAACCTTTGCAGATGTAGCTCAACCAGTCCTTGTTTGTGGTGCGGAACTAAGTTTTGGCATAGATTTGCCAAATGTTGACCTTCTTGCTCAAGATTCTGAGCAAAAGCTTTTACGATGTGCACACTTTTGTTCAAAGAGCATATCTTCCCCAGCATCGTTTTCTGCTGAGGTAAAAGAAAATAGAACTTGAATAATCCTATGAAATGTTTTTTTATGTAGGGTTGGGTTGTGAGTTTTCAGTAATAGTTGCTTTTGCTGCATCCATCTTCAACTATCACAGTATCTATTAAATTTCAGCTTTTATGAAAGTTTTTCTGCTTAGAATGCAGATGTACTCCAAGTAAGCATTCTGTTTAACAGATCTGAGAAATTTTTAAAATTCAATTCGCCTGTTGCTGAATATTTTCCTGGTATTGGCTTCTACTTTATACATTATTCAATCTGTCTCAGTGTATCTAGATTTCTTTTCCCCTTGATTTTAATCCAATTTAATTTTTGTGCTGTTAGCAATGGAAGAAGCTAGACTTTTGATTGTGGATTTCAAGCTAGAAGTAATTTGTTATGCAGCCAAGGATCTCCCACTGATTTATGCAGTTTCAAAGTTAATTATCCCTGGGTTAGTTGATCAGTTAAATTCAATGAAGGAGGTTATGTTGCCTCACCTGTTAACACAACATCCAAAGGTAATGCAATGTATTTCTGTTGACTCTGGATTTTCTTTTGCTGCTCAAAAAATTGTAATTTTTCTATTTCCCAGGAAGCTAAACCCCATTTTTTGTTTTTGTTATCATTTACTTGAGATGTTTTTTTAATGCAATGTTTTTCATATCATTTGATTGTTTTCCATGATATTCAAATAATTATAAATTTCTCTAAAAAAAGACTAACTAGAAAATTCGTTTCATTTGCAGCTACATCCTTATCACTTTAATCCATCCAGGATGATGCTGCATCCTGTGACTGTTATCTATGAACTTAATTATGGAGAGACAGAAATGAAGCAAGGTATTAAGCACGGCCTTTTTGGTTGTGATTTGGAGTACTCTCATTTCTCTCTGTATTAAGAGGAAAGGCAGAACATATTCTCCATTTAAAAGAGCTTTCTCTCTTTAAAAACGGAATTTTGATTTGGAACTTGGCATGCTGCTTCATTTTTGCTTTGAGATGATGACATGGTTGCAAAAACTGTGCCTAGGCTACGCTTAAGTGCTAGCTGTGGCATTCCGCCTCAGCTTGATCTCTAAGTGGCCTGACCAGGCATTTCTCAATAAAGTGCCAAAAAAACTTATCTCTTTCTTGACATTTTATCTAGGTTTGATCAGCTTTAATCTAAACTAGTACTTGGGGTTTGTAGATTGTGTGTTTCTGAATCTTGTCATTGTATTTTGGTGTTGTAATCCCTAAAACCTTGAAGAAAGTAGGTTGGGTCACAGTTTCTTGACCCAGAAATGGAAAGGGGAAGGAGAAAATCACCTGTGGGACACATGTTGAAGATGTTGATCACTTTTGGCCGTTTATCTAAATTAAAAATGCAATGTACTGAGTTTTTAAAAAATTTTATTATATATTCGCTAACTTTTTAATCTCATTTATCCTAATTATCCTAATTAAATTTGTATATTATTAAAAAAATGAAATAAAATGGTTAAATTTCCCCTCACATAGATTATTTTATCTTTTAAATGTATTTTTTTAATTTTATGTATTTTATAGAGGAAAAAAAAAAACACCCACACACTCTAGGCTCCACCATAACCTAGCACTTTTTGCAACTTAATGACATATGACATTCTAAAGCTCATCTTAATATTTATTAATATTATTTATGTTTTGCAGTTGACATTAGAAAATCTCTCCACTTAAGACTAGGATTACCGTTTGATCGGCCGCTCTTAAGAATTACGAATGCCTTGGATTTTTCAACAACTGATAGTTCAAAGAGAAACTCAATACAAACAGGTAAATGTCCCATTTTATATGAAAATCAGTGATGGAATGCTTGAATTTTGGTATCAACTTTTTCCCTCTATTATCTTTGTTTATCTTTGTGTACTATGCTGTGCTCTAACTCTTTTGAGATAATCCTGAGCAATATCAGGTTCTTCTTTGGTGAAAGATGTACATACCACAATTCCAAGCAGCAGTGGTTAGGGGATGAAATGACCTTTTGTAATTTCCCTTTTTTTTTTTCTGTATTTCTCATTGATATTTTCCTCATTAAAATTATGTTGGTTTGCAGTCTCAGGAGGCATTACCTCACTAGTTCAAGGTTCTTATGAGTACTATCATTATCTTCAAGATGGCCTTGATGACTCGGTAGTGGATTTGCTTCATTAATATTTTCAGTGTTTCATCAAGTTTCTGTGCCATGAACATGATTGTATATCTTAATAGTGGTTCTTGGGGTACCGCATTCACATTCTCTTTAATTGTAATTCATGATGCAGTTTAGATAGGGGTAGAACTATGCTCCTGCATCAGCTCAATTTTGTGTCATTGGTGTTCTTTGTTGTTTCATTATCTGTGCATGACATGTCAAAAATTACATTTTTTGTACCCTGAGATGACTAGCACTGATTTATTATTAATCTATTGACTGATCTCTTCTAAAGTGACTAATATGACTTAGGCTTTTAACCTTATTGTAAGTTGAAAATAGATTTTGACATGGAGACGGCATTTGAAGTTGTAATTCTTAAGGGCAAGATGCTTGTTCAATGTCTGTTTTTATAGTACATCAGAATTAAATTTACCCAAGAGTGGAAATGAAAAGGAAAATATTCAGTTTATTATCCTTTTAGTCATGTATTTTAGGTTCTGTAAGAGACTTTTCACTTTTGAAATCAATATTTGTTATGAATAAGTGTCTCTGTTAATGATTTGAAGGATATAGAAGTCCATGTTTACAATAAGTAAATGCTCTCTGTTAATGATTTGAGGGATATAAAGGGAAATTTTGGCATGCTATGGTGTATTTCTTGTCCTGTATAAATGAGAAACTCCATTAGGGTGAACTTTTGGCACTTAAAATGGTGTAATAAGCTTGGTGTGCTAGATTTACGTTTTCTTTGTGGGTCCGTTTGCAGGTATGGACCCATCATTGGGGCAGTTGGAGCTTGAAATTTCTTAAAAGAATAAAGATGAAAAATTTTAAGACATTTTTGAATTTAAGCAACATTTTGTTTTTTTCCTGTTAACAATTTCTTTTATAGAATTCCACCCACAAAATAGAAACCCCAGATCCATCCCTGTTTGTGTGCACACCTTAGCAATATGATGGGCAGTGTTAGCAGAAAAGCTCTTAGGGCTTATGAAGATTCATATATGTTTGTGAAATCATAACTATTATTTGCTTTTAGCTTTGTAATTATTTCTGCTATCTGAATATTTTTATATTTTTATGTCTGTATTTGTGCTTGTGTTTTGAGCACATCAAATTTTTCTGGAAAAGATGACCTTCTCAAATTATGGTTCAAACTTCAAATTTTTATTGTCCAATATTGTATTTCACCTGAACATGTCATTTCATGGTATGAGGTTGTTGTTGTCTCCTATGGTCCAACTCTTGTGATTTTAATGATAATGATGCATTGATAATGGTTAGGTTTTTTAAGTTAATTATATTTATGATTATTACTTTTTTTTTCTTGAACAAAGATGAAAATGTATCATTATTACTTTTAATTCTACTTACATCTTTTTGTATTACTTGCTAGGGCTGGGGTTGTGCTTACCGTTCCCTGCAGACCATCATTTCATGGTTCAGACTTCAGCACTACACATCCATTGATGTTCCTTCACATAGGTAAGATGGTTGCAACCTGGAGCATTCCAAAGTTTCAACTGCTTTTATCTCAGTTTCATTTTTGTTTTCATCTTGCTAATTTTTAAGTTCAGTTTTTGTGATTCTCAGTCTTAGGATATGCCTATTGGAAACTTAGATTAATTACAAAAACTAACCACTTGTATATATATTCCTCTCTAAGATATATTTTGAAAGCTGCGCTTTTGCCCTTACATACCAAAAATGGTAAGAAGATGTAAATTAAAGAGAATAAGTGTAAAGGGATTGAAAAAACATTTCAAATCAGGAAAAGTGTAGGTTTCCAAATTACAAGAGATTTACAGTTCTTTTTAATACAAAATTAGCCCCAAAAAAATCTGTGATTTACATGAACCATATCTGTCTCAGTAGTCAATATTTGCACTTACTCGTTTTTTGGAATAACCCATAAATCAGCTCTTGAACTTGTAGACTATTCTTTGATCTATGAGAATTTTTTGAGTTATATAAACTGAGAAAGGGTAAAGACAAGGATACAAACTTTGCCATTTTTCTTATTTACAGATGCAAACTTTATTAGTTTCTAAATAAGGCTATAAACTTTCAACTTTTTCTATTTAAGGATGCCAACTTTGCATTTTCTTCCATTGAAAGATTAATTGGATGGTGATGCTGACCCCGCAAACAGCTTTTTAACCATCCAATTAATCCTTAAATAGAAAAAAATCTAAAGTTGACATACTTAAATAGAATAGGTTAAAAGTTTACCACCTTATTTAAAAACCAACAAAGTTTGCATCCTTAAATAGAAAAAATAGCAAAGTTCGTATTGTTGTCTGCACCTTTTCTCCATATGAACCCCCCAACTTCACAATTTCATCAATCAAGTCAAAGTGGTCTGAAACTAATAAATCTCCATTATAGAGCTTAAAATGAATTTTTTCTTTCTTTTTATTATTTAATGAATTTAAGAGAAATTAACAATTTCAAAAAAAATTTGGAAAAAGAAATAAAGATGATGGAAAGCTTCAGAGTGGGCTGGTTCTCCAGGTCAGACTGCTTTGGTTGATTGATCAGTCAAAGAAATTTGAATTATCTGACTGGAAAACCTGTGGTTCAGTTCTCTTATTGGAGAACCTGGGGTTCTATGTTTTTCTTTTATATATGTTATTTTTCTTTTATATATGTTAATTGCGGAATAGGGATAGGTCTGCTAGCCATTGCCAATCCACTTGCCTTAAGGGCTCCGGAACCTACTGATGGGTTCCTGAACCTTCTTACATTCTGCCCCTAGTTTTCTACCAATATTTGTTCCATTAATTTCTTGGGGGAGCATTTTACACTTGGGGCTATGATTGAAAGAGAGGCTGGAGTGGAACCATGAACAGAATAGGTTGAGGAAAAGAAAACCTAATGTTGCCACTGTTCAGAAAGGAGGTTTTGCATCTCAAGTTTTGCCCCTCTCTCTTTCTTTTTTTCTCCCTCAGGATAGATTTTGCATTTGTTCAAAGAAAGCTCTTTTTTTTTTTTTTTTTTACCCTTGGGAACCAACAATGCATACAGAAATATCTTACTGTTTCCAGACAATATTACAATGATTTTGAAAAATGTAGTCCATTTTATATCCATTTTGCATCTATGGTTTTGATTGCACATTTTTTTGGTTATCTGTCACCTTCTTTTCTTCTTAGGATATTTCTTCTGTTAAGTTGTTATGGTTATTAGTTGTTACCATACCCATACAGAGTTCACGTTGAAGCTTGAAGTCGAACTTTGTTCCAATCTAAAGCAATAATTAGACTTGATGGTGTGAAGACAGACTTGAAAGAACCTCAATTTGTTCCTTTCTAATATTATGTCATTCTGACCTCGATTTGTTAAGTTGGGGGGTTTATTTGACACAAAATATTCTCAACAGCGTAATTGACTTAATGGTACAAGTTCAATGGCTGATTTTTTTTTTTTTTTTTGGTAAATGATTTCTATAGAAGTTGAGTTCCTGGAATTTCAGTCTAGACTCACAAATTTTTAATGCTAGTCCAGGCACAAAAACCCAGAAACAGACTCAATGATCATCAGGTGCACACAAAATCATTTAGGGTATTATTGTCTTTTCATCCACAAAGTGGGATTAAAATTAGCTAGTCTGGACTGGGAACAGTTTTCTAAAGTTACATAGGTGAAAGGAAATATTGTTGATGTCACATGATTTCAACTGACAATCTTCCTTTTTTCTCAGGGAAATACAGCTGACACTTGTTGATATTGGTGACAAGGATCATTCATTTATTGGATCACGTGAATGGATTGGTGCCATTGAGTTGAGCTTTGTTTTGGACAAACTTCTTGGTGTAAGTAGGCTGTTTTATTTCAGAAAGTATCATTCCTAACTTCATAAAAATTTCACATGGACAGGATTTTATGTTCAAATGTTTTATTCTTTTCATCAGTCTTTGATTTCAAGCTCATAAATGAACTTCTATGCAATGAGTCATTCACGGTTTTGACTAGAAGTTTAATATTTTACAGATAAGCAGCAAAGTCATAAATGTCATGTCTGGAGCTGAGCTTCCTGAAAAATGTCGAGAACTGGCATTGCACTTTGAGAATCAAGGAACACCCATTATGATTGGTAATTAAATTTTTAAATATTGTTTTTCTTTCATTTATTTGTTGTGTTTTTTGCTTTCTTTAGTTAACAATGATCTAACTTGGATGCAGGTGGAGGTGTTCTTGCATATACCCTTCTAGGAGTTGATTACAATGAAGCTAGTGGTGATTGTGCATTTCTTATACTTGATCCACATTATACTGGGACTGATGACCTCAAGAAAATTGTAAATGGTGGTTGGTGTGGCTGGAAAAAGGCTGTTGACAGCAAAGGAAAGAGTTTCTTCTTACATGATAATTTCTACAATTTATTGCTTCCACAAAGGCCTAACATGGTTTAATTTTTGTTTTAAAGTGACTGCTAGAGACTAGAATTGACGCAGCTACCTAGAGTAGACATTATTTTCCTTTGCAATATAGATTGAGACTTGAGATGAGTTAATTTTATAAGAAAAAGCCAACGTATTTAGTCTTTATTCCGGCTAAAAATCAACTTATTTAATTCATCTACTTCTGATTTCTGTTTTTTTGGAGCAATTATTTGAAGCTTGCTTTCTGCATTTTTAAAGTTCATGATATTCTACCTCTGTATATGAACTGTGCATCACCATTAAGCGCGAAACTGACCATTGGGTCTTCCCACAGGCCAATAAGGGTATTGTTGTTCCTGCTGAAGGAAGACTCATGAATTTGGCTTGTGCCACTAGACATGTTAGCTTTGTTTTATCTTGCTCATTTACAGATCAGGTGATTTCTCAGCTTATGCTATGGAGGGAAAAGAGAACAGGCAAGTATGAGTAGAGGGTTTATGTTTCCCAAAGAACCTAGACGAGAAGGTTGTTGCCTTTCCCCCTGGGGAACTCGGGGCGACTTTCTAACCTTACTACCAATGTTTCTAAACCCAAGTTGGTGATGGAACTGTTTTTAAAGTGAAAAATGGCAAGATCGGTCCAGTTCGTTGACCAACGGTCGGGCTGATGATGTCATAAATAATTTTTACATAAAAATATTTTATTTACTACTATTATAGATTGCATATGATATGATGGTAAAACACTGTGTTTTTTCAGAAAAAATCAAGGGTTTCAATCCTTGAAATATTAGATTTTTTTTTCTATTAAGTTTTTTAATAATTGAAATAAATAATTAAGATTTTATATAAATGTAGAATATAAAATTTATGTGTAAATGAATATTTATTTATATCAAAATAATATCTACTAAATATATTCATTTATATCTATTCCTTTTAACTCGGTCAACAAATTAAGTGATGTATTTTAATTATTGAATAAACATGCTTATAAACTGTCGCTACTCAGTTTTCTCACTAAAATGATCAATTCTCACCACTTTCCCATCATATAAATTCTCCCCTATTTTAGAAAATTGAATATGATTGAAAAAAATCTAAAGCAATAAGCGGAAATATATGAAGAAATAGAAATGGAAAATGGTAAAAAGAGATTTAAAGAGGAATATAGAGAGAAAATGAATATATATATATATATATATAGACATAGATAAAAGAGAAGCATGTGTAAAGGGTACAGATCGAATTTGAAAGGTGTATGTTCTTTCCCATGTAATTCCAGTATATTCTCATGTTTCAAAGCTACATGCTACTTTGCTCCATCCAAACCAGGCAATATCCATGAAGAGCTGCATTCAATTCATCCTCGAACCTACTACCCCAAAATATTTGTTCCTATTTTTTATCAAAGAAAAATGGAGAGAACTTCGGGAGAAGAAGGTGAAGAGCAGAACACATAAAATGGAGAAGAGTATATCACTCCAACTCAAATTTTCTCGTTATGATCTCTCCCATTTATAGGAGAATATAAACTCAATTCAAAATTCAAATCTAAGCAACTATTCTACATTTAAAAACAATAAAAATACACTTTAAATTTGAAAATAACAGTCAAATTTGCAGCATGCTAGCATCCTTTGGCAGCTCTGCAACATGCTTGGTCCCTTCATTTCATTTGCATTTTCATTTCATTTGCTGCTCATTTGCAGCTTCATTTCATCAACATTTGCAGCTTAGCTTGCTGCATATTTTTGTTGTCATTTGACAGCTTCCTTTTCATCAAATTTACAGCTAAATTGCTGCCATATTTGCTATCAAATTGCAACTTCATTTGCTATCAAATTGCAACTTCATTTGCTGTCAATTTCCAGCCTCATTGCTGCCATTTCATGGCAGTTTCATTTCACCATTTCTGCAAATTTGAATGCCACATTTCTAACAATAATTCCAACAATATTCACTTTCCTGTCTTGCCCCAACATATCATCTCAACATCTCTAAGAACCCAATTAAGAGCTTAAAACAATCAATGAACAAAATGAATGTTCTAAGAGCTTCTTCACCAAATAGATAAAAGAGAGAACTTCTAAAGGAAAGAAGAATCCAATGTTCGAGTTTTACATAAAGTAGATCAATAAAAAGGCCATTTAATTTTGTAGTTCAACACATAAAAGGTAAAGGAATTTACCTCAAGAATAATCACATCATGCACAGGATGCAACTCTTGGATTTTTGGTATGTTTGTAAGGCAGCATCACACCTTTCCTACTTCCTTTCTCCAAAGCCCAAACATCATCATTTCAAACTTGAGTGGCAATCCATTATGCATTGACTCAAAATTTTCATATCTGTGAGCTATTTTCCTATTTTTTGTTCATCAATTCTACTATATGGCAAAGTGACAAATTCCATGTGAAGGCACTTGCATAGAGTTGAAATTTGAGACTAAACAAGGAAAAGGAACGATCCTTAGATATTGCATACATCAAGAAGAACTTTCTGCCATTGAGGATATTATTCTTATGATCAAGAAAGATAGACAAACTTGGAAAAGGTGAGATAAACAAAGGAACTGAATAAGCCCCCATACTTCTTTACAGTAAGCAATTATTCTTCATAAGTTTTCTTTTTGGCAAATCAACTCATTAACAAATATACATGTAGAGGCCCATTCAAATTGGCTAGCTGGAACATTTTGAAGCTAACAATTAGTGAACTATTATATAAGTAAAATGGAGTAAGAGGAATGGGAAATTAAGCTAATGCTTGATTAAATTAGGCAAGAGAAATGAGGGTGAAACGCTTTTACCCTTATACATTGGTTAGTCCATTTTCTCTTTTAAAAAAATTCACCATTCAGATTTTTTAAGAAAAGCAAGCAAATTTGCTCAACAACAAAAGTACAACTCAAAAAGAGATGAAAAGAAAAGAAAGAAGCTACAATTTTGCATCTAAATAAGGAAAAGCCCTCAAAACCCGCCATTGAGTAATCAATTCTAACCTTCAAAAATTGCTCTAAATTGGCTTTGAAGCTTAGAGACTTTGTGGCATGAAGCCAAAATGATAGAAAACAAACTATGATGCTGAAAAAATAAAATTAAAAAAAAAAGGCCAAAAAAGAATTCAATCAAATGAAATATATGTTTCTATTAACTAATAATGTAAGTGGCAGAGATTACAAAAGAAAATTGAACCAAAGGTGAGAGACTGAGATAAGAGAGGAATGCAAAACCTAAATTTGGACCACAAAATCAACATCAAAATAGTAATGCTTTATTCAACATCAAAACCAAACTAACATAAAAAATTAAGATTGAAGTAAAAATTAATTTAGGAAAAAAACAACAAATCTTTTTATTACATTTGTTAAGAAAAAGCAATCCCTTTTCTTTTCACCATTTGAAGGAACACTGACTTTTCTCTATTATTTATAGTTGTTCTCAATTAACACCCTAAAGCCTTTCAAACCCATCACCCCCCCCCCCCCCCCCAAAAAAAAAACCCTAGCTTCAAGAAAACCCCAAATCATGGAAAAGAGAAGCAAGGTTTCTTATGGGAAATTAGATGGGGAAGGTAACAAGATCGAAGGAAGGGGCTTGTTTATACGTGGAATCCTTTCAAGGAGGTTGAAATCTAAATGATATAGTATGTTTAATGAATTTAGATTAATTTAATTATGTAATTTTTTTACTCAATCATGTACACATCCAATATGAATAAAATAATATTGGCCTAGGGGATTAGAAACCATGGTTTGAATTGAAAATTTTGTCTTGGGTTTGTCAAATTTTTACAACCTTGATGCAAGTTATTTATCCAATTCCTAATGGTTACATTGGCGTCAGGTTTGAAACCTTGATTTTAATTGTAAAATCTATCTAGGGTTTGTTGAATTTTTACAACCTTGATGCAAGTTACTTATCCAATTCTAAATTATTATATTGGGTTAGGGTTTTGAAACCTTGTTTTGAATCAACAAATCAGTCTAGTATTTGTGAATTTTTACGACCCCATGTAAGCTACTAGACCTTTTAAAGGAAGGACTTGAAGGCTAATTGGTGGTATTGGGTTCACCTAGGTGTTTGTCAAGTTTACATGACCCTTATGTAAACCTTAGAATTTTCTTGAGTGAAGCTAATATTAGATATCATGTGGCTTAAAATTTGGCTAACTCAGATTATATGATTAAATGTTTGGTTCTCTTGCCTCTAAGTACTAACAAAGCTAATATATGAATTTCTTAATGGTTTGACTTTGGATGCTATAAAACATTGATAGGCATAGGAGAAGTCATGTGTCCCTTGAACAATTTCATCACTCACAATACAAATATGACTACTGGATACTAAGAAATATTAGCTCCTATTAGTAGAATGAAATGAAGGGCTACCAATTACAAATATATAGCTCATAGTAGTAGAATGCCCTACATGGATGGCTACTGGCTACTGGCTACTAACATATAGCTTCTTAGAGCAAAAGGCCACAAATGACTATTGCTTATTAATAGGTAGCTTTTAGTAGCAAAATGCCATGGATGGCTAGTAGTTATAAGTACGTAGCTCCTAATAATAGAAAGTCATGAATGACTATTAGCTACTAATAGGTGGCTCCTAGTAGTTGTCATAACTTGATTTTTTATTTAGTCTTTACTATCCAATGTTCTATGAAAAAAAATCTAAAAATAGCTGAAAGTAAAAAAAAAAATTCTTAAAAAAAACTATAAAAGGAAATGTAAAATTAAAACGTTAAAAATGCTTTTAATTTACTGTATTTTATGTGTTTCAAGACCCATTCACAATTAGGAGAAAAGTTTGTAGAGCAGTCAAGAGAGAAAAGCCCAAAAAAAGACTCAATTGAAGAAAGCAAAAGAAAAAGGGTGAAATTAAGCAAAGGGATGTAGTGTACAGGGATTGCGCTAAAATTTAAAAATTCATCTAACCCACTTGCTTAGCTCAAACTTTAAATTGAGGCCATATGTAATTCAACTAAAAAAACAAAACCTAGCCTTTATCTAAATGGTGTCATTTTAATGCCCTATAAATATTTGTTTTAATCCTAGCAAAACTTAATTTGTCCCCTTTTCTTCCAAGAGCTTCACTCCTCATGACACCTCCCCCCTCAACCACAAACTTTCTTTCCTCTTCCAATTTCCACCCCTTCTTGGATTATTACCACAGGCACGATCTTTTCA